CTGGAGCTGATGATCACAGGACCTGGTTTGAATGCCTGCTATATCTGCTAGCAACAAGCTGTCTGTTCGTCTCTGAAGCCTGATGAGATAGAGGACCTCAAACTGGAGCTACAAGGAGTTAGCTAGTAAGCAGTAGAGTTAAGATTATACTGAGCTGAAGTTAAATCTGGCAGCAGACGTTCGTGTCTGCAGCACTCCTCGTAGAGCTGCTCTTGGACTTTCTCTCTGAGCATCTTCTGGGTCCAAGTCAGTTCCGAAGATTGTGCGTGCGTGTGCAAGCACATCTATCTGGTGTGTTCCCTCCAGGCCCCCAACAGTTTCTTTTGTGAATGGAAAGTTTTTTATCAAAGTAAAAGCACTTAAGATGCACATGTAAATTTTGATTTTTATTCTTAGTAGGTTGTTCTCTTTATTCCCACTGCCTTTTTTTTTTTCTCCTAAATGAATAAATCTTATGCAGGTGATTTTCTATTTCTTTGTGACTATTCTTGTTCTTATCTGTGAATACTTTGGTGGAAGTAAATGTTTCTTTCCCACTCTGATAACCTGTTCTTCCCCCTTGCTTCCCCTCCCTCACTGGGTTTGTTGGATAGGGGTGAAATCATAGCTGACCAATGGCTTTGAAAATGTCAAGTAAAATGAGTCTAGTGTGTAACTGTGTTGGGCTAAAACGTGACTGCTTGAAAGAAGTTCACAAAAGATGTTGATCTGAGCGGAAGGGGCTCAAGGAGCTGTCATGCCATAAGCCAGCCTCTGGGATCACCTTCAGGTTGATATCCGTCGGCATTCATAGATTTGACTGAACCTCGCTCCTCTTAAAGACTTAGGGGTCATAATCCCTTGGCTAAATTGAACAGTAAAACAGATATTAGAGGTAGATTTCTACAGTAGTGTTTGGGGGATTTTGCTGCATCAGTTTTGCAGGAGACTTGAATGCTCAGTGAAAAGCTGTTGCAGCTTGTATTGCACCAAGTGCTTATTTCCAGGAGATTTCTGAACTTTCTAGCAAATATTCTCCATCTGAGAGGAGAAAACTGTTTTATTTTCTCCTTTAAGTCCTTTGTTGACACACCTTCCAGAGAAGGGGCCTGCTGAGAAATCAGACAGGTGTTGCCTGATGGTAACTGGCGTCTGTGCATTGTGATACTGAATTACCAGCCAGAGTGCCAAGAGTGGGTAATACAGTCTGTCTGCACAGGCAGGTGGGGAGGGTAGAGCTGCAGGCGCTGGAATGTTTTCTTCTTTCCTTTTAAAACATACTATTAAGCATAAAGCTAAATTCACTGTTGTTCTTAGCAATCTCTTGAGGTTTGTTTAAATAAAGCATGACATGCAGCCGTTGAAGCCCGAAGAAAAGTCTGAGCCAAAGCTCTTTGCTCTCCCTCTCAAATGGATAACACATTTCCAGACTCCACTTTTTTGTTTTATATAACTTTCTGGTCCATATATCTGGTAGAAGCAGTGTTTGTGCTCCTCAGGCTGTTGGCACAACTTTTGTTCCTGCTGCTAGATAATGACCATTGTCATCTTGCTAAATAATAGGCTTGTTGATTGAGTCAAGCTCATTTTTAGTATTTTTGCTGCTAATTAATTTAGTTTTCCTACTCAAGCAAGTAGCAGAAGTGCATTGATTAAGTCATTCTGGGAGTTGCTCATCTTGTGATCTCACCTGTCCTAGAGTGTCAGTTAGTTCGCGTAGTAAAAAGGTGGGCAGGGAGACTGTCACCTCCTCTGCAAGGTGGGGCAGTGTGAGGACCACTGGGAAAGGGCACCTGTGCTGAGAGGGATGGCCCTTGCTTGCAGGTACTCTCTGAAAGCACAGACAGCTCCTGCCTCAGGGGTTTTTTTTTCTGAAGCTTATTTGCTTTGAAATCTATATTCCATATCCTGTCTTGCTCCATGGATATAGCGATTATCACTGATCCAGTACGAAGTCACCACGACCTAGTTGTTCGCATCTCTTTGTGCCAGTAGATGGCTGGGCATCAGGTTACCCACGTCTGCAGGAAAGTTGGTAGAGTGGGAAACTCAAGCCCCTTACTGTCTGACAGCAGGTACCCTGTGGACAGATTTACACCAGTGTTAAATGACTGGCCTCTCGGTGATTACACACTTGTGGGTGGCTGTGTCTGGAGTAGATGTGAAATCGTGGCTGTATGCCATGGCCCCAAGCTTTGCGAGGCTTGAACTTGTCTTGCAATTGGTTGACTAAAAGGCAGTGCAGCCCCCCTGCTATCTCATCTGCCTCTACACTGAGTACTGCTGCTTGAATCCCTGTGCCCTGACCATGTCCCAAAACAGAGGTGGCCTCCTGGTCACCCTCCTTTTCTGATGTGCCAAATTCAAGGTGTTGGCCAGAGCCTGGGACTTTTGAGTCTGCCCTGTGTTTGGGGGACATATCCATATATTTCATTGTTGGGCAGACTTGTTCATCACAACCCATCAGCCCTTGACTGTTTGCTTTCTGTGAATTTAAGCTGCAGGTCTGACGCCTTCCTTGCTGGTAGTAGTCAATAGGGTCTGACATCTGGGGGCTAAAGGATGGACATGGAGCAGGTCCCTTCTTTTACTGTCAGATGGGCCACACTGTTTGATCTGGAGCTTTGATATTCCTACTGGTGTTGGGCATGTCTCCTGTCCTTATGAAAGTAGTGATTATTTTATTATTTTTATTTTTCCGTCCCTTCTTCTAACCCCGCCATTCTGTCTTTAAAGCTATTATACATAAAATTACAGTCAACAGCAACACTCCTGATCCATGACCGAGGGGTGTGTATCTCCTTCCATTTGTTCAATTCTCTGAATGCCTGCAGACACTGGACACGGTGGCTCCTGGCACGTGCTGTGCCCTCCCTGCGTCATCACACTCCCTTATTTATGCTTTTATTTCAGCCCATTGCCTTTGGGTGCCCAATTTCTTTACACATCAATGATGTTAAGGCATCCAAGCGATTAGTTGACTTTTTGAGATTTTTGAGACTTTCTGTCCTTGAAACCTTCATAGTGCTATTAGCAAACTGATGTGTTGAGGGAAACAATGCTCTCTACATTTTCCTCTTTCAGATGTGATTCTTTTCCTACCTCTTGAGATGAAAAGACAACATGGTGAGCTCACTTGTACCTTCAGTAAAGAATTGCTTTTTAATTAAAAAACAATAAGGGATTTCAGGTTAAAAAGATGTAAGATATAAATCACCATCTAGATCTGTTTCGCAACTTTTTTTTTGGTAATTGTTTGGCATGTTCCCTGTTTCCGCAGGCTGGTTAAATCCTTTGTGGGTTTAATCTCTAGCCTGCAGGCACATAAAATACATTGCACAATCCGGCCTTTGCATTTTAAAGATATTTCTTTTTTTCCTTTGCTTAAATACCTGTAGCATCTTCTCTGCCATATGGCAGGGTGGCATTGAGTGAGGGGGGAAGGGTCTGGCTTGGCTTATTTTTAATCCCTCTCTCCTCCCCAGTGTCTCTCTCAGCTTTGGTTTTTCCAATGTTAGTAACGTGTGCACTTTGAAATGCAAATAATCCCTGAATATCACTAGCTAATCCTTCTGCTGCCACATCATCCGCCACCCACCCATGCATGCGCCAGCTCTTCCCATTCCAGCAGGGTGGATGGCCACGTTGTGCTCCCGACCAGTATGGACCAGTATGAACCTGTCAGTGCTTTGTTTGAACAGTTGGGACCAGGGCTTTATTTGCCACAGCTTCTAGAGGCATTTTTTTCAGAAAACCACCACCTTGAGGCTTTCACTTTTCTTTCTCCGAAAGAGCAGAAGGGATGGAAGTGGGGAAATGCCAGCAATTCCTGTGGGTTATGCGGTTGGGGTTACTGGGAGAGCTCTGCACTCACGAATGTCTAAGCACCAGGAGGATGCCTCTGGTGTGGGGCACTGGCTGTAAGTGCTGTATTTTGAAAGAATCTTGTAGTGCAGAGGAGACTGGGAAGTCTCCTTCATGGGGATCATCCAGAAAAATGGGTTCATGTTACACAGTGCTGAACCCTATAGCAGTTTCCTTTGCTAAGCATGTGCCCTTATTTCAGTGACGCATTTTGAACAGGAACCAACAACCAGCCCATACCTTGATGTTTTACTGAGTAAAAGTTTTGAGATGTTAACACACCTCAGGAATAATGCTGCACCACTGTTACTGCTTTAGAGAACATCATGAAAGACGGAATCTAATATGCTTCAAATGAGCACAGCGAATAAGAGAATCTTGTTCTGTTCACTGCACGGTCACAACCTCCCTTTTGGAGCCAGCTGCTGGGTTGTGCTCTAGATCTCACCATGAACCTGGTCTTTGGGCTGTTAAACTCTTCTGCTCTTTGATTATGCAAAAAAAAACCTTTTTATTTTTTACTTTTCTTGTGGACATAATGCTTTGAGTTTAGAAGTGTGGAGATTGCTGTTGAGGCGATCAGATGCATGAGATGCATTTAAAAGATGACTGAAATGTCAGATTCGATACAACTTCAAAATTGATCTGGGTCTTGCTTTCAAGTACTGTTCAATTAGAGGGTTCATGTTTTTATTTCATCTTTTTGCAAACATAGGAGGGCATCTTGCAAAACAGGATGCAATGTTTTACATGTATGGTTTCAAGTGCTTCCAGGAGTACAGCGTGCTGGTAGAAGAATAATGTCCTTTTTGTTAGGTGGGTAACGTGTGTCCCTTGGAAATGGGAGGGTTGGAGGGGGAAGAAGGGACATGCCCAGGAGTAATAAAAACTGAATTTGTTTGTATAAAAGCAGTGCTTTTAATCTGAAAATTTTTGCCTTTGGGAAAACTAAGATACAGATTTATACTCTGCTATTCTAAAGGTCTTAAGTTTTTTTGCCACTTGTTTGGAACTGTGGTTATTTGGTGAATAAAATGCAACGCACGTGCAGTAGCTGGTGCATTCAGTTACGTGCACAAACTCATCTCCGTCCTTCCAGCATGCCTCTGTCTCTAGCTGAACATCCTGACTCTCTCTTGCTCTTTCTCCCCACCCAGTATTCCACCGAACTGAAAAAGCTGTACTGCCAGATCGCCAAGACATGTCCCATCCAGATCAAAGTGATGACCCCGCCGCCTCAGGGAGCCGTCATCAGGGCCATGCCAGTCTACAAGAAAGCTGAACATGTCACCGAAGTGGTCAAACGCTGCCCGAACCACGAGCTGAGCCGGGAGTTCAATGAGGGTAAGAGGGCAACGCTTTGCTGGCAGCCCCTCTCCAAATCTGCCTGGCTGATGAGCGACCAGCGCGGGCATTTGGCACCAGCTTCACAGCGAACCTGCTGGAAGCAGACCTCTCTGCAACATCTTGTGCAGCTTTTTATTTCCCATGCTTAGCAGGAAACTTCATACTATACTTTAGCTGTCCCTGTGCACACACGTCCTTGGGAAGAAAGTACTGAAATAAACCTCACCCCTGCCCAGGTTAGATGGATGTCTGTCCCCATGCAGGCAATGCCCTTCTGGCAGCTTTTCCCCACTCTGCTTTTGCTCCCGCCATGAGAAGCAGCTGTTCATGTGCTCAGGAATGAGCTTCCACGTCGCAGGGACAGGGATCTAGTAACAGGATGCAATATCATCTCCAGTCCTTAATCCACGCCTCAAAGACGGAGGGGCTGTTTATCTCTAGCAGGATAATGCTAAGTGCCAGCATCAGCTGTAGGCAACTTTCCTGTATGTTTAACGCTATCGGTTCAGTATTAATGTTTTAATCTTTTACTTGCTTCTCCTCGTGTTAGTGAAGTTGTAGCTATTTTAAAAATGTTCTGGAGTTTTCTGCAAACTCATGGGCTGGGCTCCATTTTTATCTTGGCTGCCTAAGTTCACATAAGTTCAGATGAGCATCTGTTTTATTCTACGTGCATTATTTATCTACTACTGTAAAAAAACACGGTTGGTGTCAGTTAGCAGGATGTTTTAGGAGCCTGGATCTCTTTGCTGGTTACAGTGCAGCCAGCGAGAAAAACCCAAAAATAAACAAGGACTTGGGAGTGTAAAACCAGAGTGAGTGAGACAGTTCTTTGAACTGTTTTTCTGTATTGGAAAGTGATTTTCTGGCAGGACTGGATTTTTTGAAGGTTGATACCTAGTTCAGTAACAGGGTTATAAGAAAAAAAAACCTAAAACTTTAAATTCTTATTCTGAAATATGTGATTTCCAGATAAATAATTATTTTGAGTAAGTAATAAAGAGTTCAATCACAAAACAATTTTTTAAGATGAACCAATAATAGGCTTTTCTCATCAGAATTTAGTTGTATGCTATAGAAACAGTGAAAAAAATTGGAGGAAGGAAACTTTTTGTAGTTATTGGAAAGGGGCCTAGAAACAAAGACAACATTCCCTTCTGCTGCTGCTATAAGCAATTGTAATTTTTCAAGTTTATCATTAATTAAATGCATATTTCTCTAGTGGCTTGAATCTTTTTTAGCTCCTTAGGATGAAGACTGATGGGAGGGAAGAGAAGAGAGCTTGCAACTGATGGGGGAAAGAGGAGGAATTAAGACTTGAAGGAACTTGCTTTGTGTATGCATTAGAAGGAGGAAAAGAAAGGCTTTCAGCTGGTATGAAAATCTGCACAGAGTTATCTGCTGTAAACTGCCGTTCAGGTTAACGTCTGGGCTTGCTTAGTCTGGGATCTTGGGAAGTCCATGTACAAGTTTACTTAGAGGTGTCCAGGGTGAGCTTGAGAAAGTCAGTGTTGCCTTTGATGTCTGACAGCGAGGACCTTGGGATGGGGTGCTCTAAGGGCTGGGAGGCATGTGTGTGCTCTCATAGACCTCTGGGGCCAGTGCAGGGGTTTCTCTGGGTGGAAGATCTTGCTACCGTGTGCGTGACCTTGCTTCACTGAATGGTGTCTCTTGTTTTTTGGCTCCTTGTGCTTGCAGGGCAGATTGCACCTCCCAGCCACCTGATCAGAGTGGAAGGGAACAGCCATGCCCAGTACGTAGAAGACCCCATCACCGGGAGGCAGAGTGTGCTGGTCCCCTACGAGCCACCCCAGGTATGTTGTGAGCTCAGGGTGTGACATCCCAACACACAAAGGGGTGGGGGTTATAACCCTAATCGAAAGAGGTGGGCTTTTGTGCTTTCCCCATCCTCACCATAACGAATCCTTTCTTTCTCTTTGTCAAAAATGAGCTTATAAATACTCTATTTATCCCCTGAGAGCAGGAGTTCTTCATTTCTTTTAAGGAAGCCTTGTGGTGGGGCTTATCTCATGCTAGTCTGATTGCAGCACAGCTGTGGAAGTACGAGAGAAGAGCCTGGAAAAAGCAGAACTTTCCATCCCCCAGTTCTTCTGCTCATCCTCTTTCTCTCATCCAGGTTGGTACGGAGTTCACGACAGTCTTGTACAACTTCATGTGTAACAGCAGCTGTGTGGGAGGGATGAACCGTCGCCCGATCCTCATCATTGTGACACTGGAAACCAGAGAGTAAGTAGTGCATCACGAGTGTAGCCTTTTGGCTGAGAAATGGCTGTCTGGCTCCTCTTCTGCTGAGGGCAGCTTTTGCATATCCTTGGGCACAGTTTGCTGCAAGGGGCTGTAGGGTATTTTTTACATCTTTGCAGGCAGGAGTTGCCTGACACCTGTGACATCCTGGCTGGGAAATGGGAGGTTTGGGTCTGTCCATGCATAGTCTGGTGTGAAGTTGAGGGATGCTGTTGGCCCATGTCCTAGCTGCCAGCTGATGTTTCTTCTCACTTCTCTTCCCAGCGGCCAAGTCTTGGGCCGCCGATGTTTCGAAGCCCGCATTTGTGCTTGCCCCGGCAGAGATCGCAAAGCAGACGAGGACAGCATCCGCAAGCAGCAAGTCTCTGACAGCACAAAGAATGGTGATGGTACGAAGCGCCGTAAGTAGCTGGCAGAGCTGGGCAGATTGCAAATTGTGCTGTCACTGGGTGCGGGTGCAACCCTGGCCCTTGTGTCGAGGGGTTGGAGCGGTGCTGTGCATGGGCTTGGAGGCAGGAGGACATTAGACGTCTGTTCTCTCAGGGTCAATCAGTCTGAAAAATGAGCTGGTGCTCAGAAAAAAGCATTTGACAACCCGGGTTTGCGGGCTTCTTTTCAGTGCTGCCTGTCTTATATCAGCCCTGCCAGCAGTGGCTGAAGGGGGTGTTTATTTGCCATCTTCAAGCTGGGGCTCTGTAACCACTTTTTGAACCTCTACTGCTTGTTTGGGACTGTGCTGTCATTCTCTGCTCCTTCTAGCCAGCATCTTGTGCTGTCGCATGTGTCTTCAAGCAACAGGGATCTAGATTAAGACTGCACATAAACTGCTGTGCATCAGAGGTGCTCTGGCAAGTGGCTTCTACCTGTCCCCTAAAGAGTACAATGTACTCACCAGACATGCAAGGTGTACAAACCCAGCTTTGGTTTCCTGTATACACCCAGCAATGGCACTAGGCTAACAGCAAGGCAGCAGGTTTTACCAGGAGGCGGATTGGAGCGAAGCCAGCGTGCTCCCAGCCTGTTGTCTCACCTTCATGGATCACTGATCTTCCGACATCTCACCAGCTCTGCAATACCAAAGCTTGCAGTCTTTCCTTCAAAGACCCAATGCTTGTTCTAGGTACAGCTTGCTGGGTTTTGCCAGTGCTCACTGGCTGATGTGTTTCCTGAACACATGGCCACCCAACATCGGGCTGATGGAGCCAGGAGCTGCAAGCAGAGGTCTAGAGTAGCTGAGGCAGAGACACCTTCAGAGCACTGCAGATCCAAGTTGGCTAAGCACTTCATGTCTCTCTCTTGGTTTGGTTTTGGTTTTTTTTTTAAATAATTAGATGACTTTTGGGGTTTCTCTTCCAGCTTTTCGACAAGGAACTCATGGCATACAGATGACATCTATCAAAAAAAGGCGTTCCCCAGATGATGAGCTCTTATATTTGCCGGTGAGTTTTCTCTACATTTGCATTTACCCTATGTTTACCATCTTCCTAAGTGACTTGAGGCAAGTAAGCCACTCACCTATACCTCAGAGAGACCTGAGGATGGGATGTGGAACTTTTATCTAATTTTTTTAATGCTTAGTGTTATCTATTTTAAATACATCTTTGAAACAAAAAATACGAAAAATCTCATTAGCTGCTGACTGAGAGTGGCTTGTGCAAGGCATATGAGGATATTCCAAGGAATCTATCTGTCCTTCCTTGTGGAAAAATTGTCTTGGAGACCTAACTGGGTTTCATCCTCTGTGATTTCTGGGTTTGAGGCACTTGAACTTTCTCTAGAGAAAACAGTTATCTTATTGACAAAGGTGGATGATTCTGTGACTTTTATGTGTATTACCATTGCAATGTAATGATAGAAGTGAAATACGTTGTATTAAGTGTAGGATCAGGAAAGGCAAGAAATATCTGTAATTGGCCATTTAGCTGTTTCCCCATGAGCCACATTTAGTTGGATAAACCACAAACCTCAGTATACTTAGAGAAGAGAGACCCAAATTCAAGTACTCTTTTTCCTTCAGGCATGTAATATTCAGCGCCAGATCTGCTTACATCTGAGGCAGGTAAAGATAATTTCTGTGTAATGGATTGGATCAGAATATTGCTTTTGATTGGCATAGATTGACATGGAGCCAGATGACGACCCCAAGGTGATCATTAGCCCTCCAGTGTCAGATTAACACTCTTCAGCATTATCTACTGTATGTCTAGCACAAGACTAAGTAGTTTTATTGTGTATGCATAGTGTATAACCAGAGTATTTACATCCTGCTCTGGTTGTTTACTTGACTTTATCTAAAGCTCACTAAGGTGGCTGTACCTAAGAACCACAGATGCAGTCCTTTGAGGCTTTTCCCCCTCTTTCCTTTTCCCATGATACAGGTTAGGGGACGGGAGACGTATGAAATGCTACTGAAGATCAAAGAGTCTCTGGAACTAATGCAGTACCTTCCTCAGCACACGATTGAGACCTACCGGCAGCAGCAGCAGCAACAGCACCAGCACTTGCTCCAGAAGCAGTGAGTATGAGTGTGCTTGCAGTGACTTGTGCAGTGAGGGCGGTGGGGAAGGGGGAGAGAGGAGAGAGACACAGAAGGTTTCTGCATGGTTGTTCACAGAGTTGTGGTGCTCAACCACAGGCTGAGCACTTGTAGAGTACTGTATTGGCAAAATCCTTTCCAAAAGCCTAATTGCTTGCTAACTCTGTGGTCTGAGTAGAAATTAAAACCAAGACTTTGGCCAAAGCCAAGTTTCTGTACAGAACTTGAGATACTCAGAGTTGGAGATCTGTATTTCATGACCTGTGCAATGGGACAACAGCAGCCCTCCTTCCCTGAGCATGCATCCCGACTGCTTGCAAGGTCCCTCTCTAGTCTCGTCCCACACAATTTACCTCTTGGCCCTAGAGGGTGAACAAGGATAGGAGTGGTACCTTGTTTCTCACTCCCATCTGAAGCCCAAGGCACAGCTAAGCAGTGCCATTGAAAAACCAGAAGACAGAAACCTGCTGCGTGTACGTGCCTGAGCTGGGGAGCACAGGGTGAGTGTGCTCTTCTCTCATCTACTCTGTGGGAATGGCAGCAAACATGGAGCCTTCTCCATGCCTTCTCTAGGGTATGCATCTGAGCATCCTGCCAAGAGCTTGTGGAGCTGAGACTATAAGCATTGGCCCAGCTGAGTGCTTGGACTCTGCTGCTGCACGCCTTTGGTGCTGCTGGAGCGCTGGTGTCTCAGTGGCATGTAAATACTGTAGGTTCTTCAGCTATAAAACAGGAAGCTGAAAGTTGAGAGTGAAGGTGAAATGTGTCGGAATTCCTCTGTGACCAGTGGATGCTTCAAAGAAAGACTCTGCCTGTGTACTTTTAAAGTGTTTTTTAAAACTATACTTTGTTACTGCCCATTCACATTGGGCATGAGAAACTTTCTATCTGGACAGACGTAGGTCCTGTCTGAACTCATCTGGCAGGGCTGTGCAAGGATCACTTTGAGTGGTGTAAGTGCCAGGAGGATGGGGAGAAGAAGGGCCAAATAAGTGTCCAGTTTCCATTTTTCCCTCGGTTCCCAAAGCTTTGCAGTTACAGAGACTGGGTCAGAGAATGACTTCCCAGACAGACCGTAAGCAGTGTCATTCATGGGCACTGCTTCACCTGCTGTATCGGGTGACAGAAAAGAGTCACCCGGGCTGTAGGTACCCGCCAGCGGTAGTGCTTAGGATCTCGCGCGTTCCTGCTGGTAAGCTCACGCGTCAAGAAACTGCGGGTCTAACTCGTTCCTCTGCAGAGGTTAGGATGAGGCCAAGGCACCACATAAGTCCCACTTGAGCCTGTAGGGATTTATTTTGGTGCCTTGGCCTTGTCTCAGGACTTCTGCAATACCGTGGCTTTCTGCCAACTCTCTGCATGTGTTCACATTTTGACCTGTGTGTTTTTAGTGTCAGCTGGAGTCTTGTGGAGGTGTGAAAAAAGCCTTGTGCCAAAATGGCTGGAGCATTCAGGGGCTCTTGGGCTCTTTCTCGGGGCAGTTAAAATTCTCGTAATTATTTCTTTTTATCAGTTATCTGCACTGTTTGTATATACTGCAGCTTGTATTTACTAGCTCCTAGGCATCGTGGCCTTTGTGCTCTCAGCTGCATGTCTTCAAAGCTCCACCTGAACTCCAGCCCTTTCAGTTGAGAAATGGTTTTGTAAGCAGAAATGGACGGCAGCAGATGACAGCTTTCGCTTGGTGCTGACAGTTGCTTTGCCATAACTACTGTTTTCATTCTTCCTGTATCAATAGGATGGGTTCCTGGCAACTGAGGTTGGTATTTGTGTTACCTTTAAGACCAGCATGTATAAGTCCAGCCATTTAATTTAATGAAACTTCTTTCAGCATGTCTCTTGGCACTTGTCCAGTTGTATACTCATTTTTCTCAGCTGCTGAGTGTGCTCAGATACTGGGGAGAAAGATTAAGAGCTTTTAAGGATGCCAGGAGTGGGAAGAAAAATAACTTCCAGTGTTTGTCCAGAGCTGCTGCAGTTGTCTCTGCCGACAGCCTGCCATCAAGCATGGTCCTCTGTGCTGAAATGCATGTTCAGGCAATATCTTCTTAGATACAATTGGATTCTGGTGTTTTTTCTTGATAATCTAGGATATGACTTAATTTCTGAAAGAATGTGTTCAGGGCAAAGGGGCACTTGGGCTGAAAAGGCTCGTAGATGCAATTGCACCCCAAAAGAATTGTAAAGGAGCTTCAAGTCTCAGTGTGAGAATAGGGAGAGAAGACATTTTTTTGAGCTGGTTTGGGTAAGAGGAAGCTTGCATGTGAACGGGTTGCTGGGAGGTGTCCTGCCACTGGTGCCTTGTCAAGCCAAATGCAGCAGGATGGTGACTCCTTTGCAAGTCTTTTCTGGCTTGTGGAGTGCAAGGTATTTTCTTTTCAAAAGCTACTTTCTTTTAAAGTAGGGATGTATTTTCAAAACTCAATCTCTGTTTGCTTTTGCCCAAAGTGTGTGTTGAAACTGGGAGCTAGAAAAGTGCATATGCAGTGATCAAGTTCAAATGTGTAGAAAGCTGTAGGTCCTAGCAGAGCTCTGTGGGACCAGGTTGCTTGTGAGTTCCCTTTAGCTCTTTCCTCTCAAAATGGGGCTGCATCCACATGTCCTCCACAGTCAAGCTTGGGGAGTTGCATGAGGTTTCTTCAGTTTGCTTTTCTGAGCAACAGGTAACATAGAAAAGATATGTAAGCGTAGGGGGGAAAAAATTTTCCTTTCATTCTGACGACATGGAAATCTGGATCTTTTTTGAAGAGTAGGAAAAATAAAGATGAGAGTATCATGGTGAAAGGTAGCTTTAAAAATATAAATCTATCCTTTTGGAAGACAACTGTATAATTGCTCTCACGCACATTAAGACCAGCATTGCATTTGGCAAGCCAACAGATACAACTATCTTACTGTTCTAGAATAAAAGGGACAAATCTGGTGACAATCAGAAAGTTTTGTGTCTCACAAGATGACCAGAATACTGCAATGCTTCATGCTGTGCCAGACCACAATCTTTCTCTGTCTCATCTCCTCTCTCTGTTTGTTCCTTTGTGCATGGTTTTCTGTTATTTGCTGTTATGCCAAATACCTTCATGATCATAGGTGGGAAATGGGTTGGGTTTTTTCTGCAGTTTCTATTCTTCCTTTTTCACTGCCAAATCCTGGGGCCCATATTTGAACAGCAGCACACAGAAGACTTCTTTTTCATGGTCTGCCACCATTTGCTTAAAACATGGATTTGCCAGAAGATCCCTATGCCAGATACCAGAGGTGGCTTGTGCTTTGATGGGGGGGAAGGTTTCTTCAATACTCTTGTGAAATGCATTTACCATCAATATTCTCAGGGTGTATCTGTACAGTCTTTAAGGGTTTCACTGGAAAACACTTTTTCATATTCAGCAAAGTTTCCTGTGGTGAGTTTCACTCTGCTGAGCACAGTTTTCAGAACAGTCTTTATTTCAATTGGCCATAGCATTGAATCACAGAATATCTCAAACTGGAAGGGATCCATAAGGATCATCAAGTCCGACTCCTGTGACTGAAGGGCTTTCACCAAGCCTTCCAATGGCTACCAAGAGGATAGCTCTTAAGCCTGAGTGGGAACTTTATGTCTCATATCAACAGGGCTGCAGCTAACCAGCACAATGGCTGCCTTTGGGTGTAGTGAGCAGTACAGCTCATTATCCAAATGAGAAGGAATTAACCTCATAAGTGAGATATGACAGAGCTGAGCTATACAGTGCCTGGAGTGCTCCAGCTGTGAGATGGGAGCTGCAAGGATCCCACTGTTTGCTGTTGTGATGAGAGTGCTGGTGGGGAAGGTATTCTTCATACCTCCACCTAGTTATTCTCATTTTTGATGTGAAGCTAATAGTGGATTTTTGCATGGTTTGGCTTGGTTTTTGTAGTGTTGTGCTTGCATGTGTTAACTCCAGGCACTCAGATAGTGTTCTCACTAGAGAATTGCCAAGATGAAAGTTAAAAGAAATGATGTGGGATTAGGTGTATGAAGAAGTTCTGCATTTGCTTTGCTGGCTCCAAGGGTGCAGTGCCTTCTGCATCAGCTGACAGCCCTGGGGACCCCTTGGCTTTAGTGCAGAGATTCCCTCAGCTTTGAAAACAGAAGTAGTTGAGATTTAATCAATATGGCCCTTTCACGGCAGACACGGTCCTCTCTCTCTAGCACTAGCTTGTTTAAGGAAGCTGGATTTGAAGTGGACTCAATGGAAGCTGCTTCTCTCTTTTTCCCCTTTGGCTGAGTGCTTTTTTTCCTCTTGTATTTGTCTCTGGGAACAGTATTGGGGTGCCATTTTCACCCATGAGACTTCCCTATTGACTGGTATTTTTCTCTTCCTTGCCAAGCACTTGCTTGTACCTGGGGCTTTCCAGCTCTCTAAATCTCTGTTGCATACACTCACAGCAGGTGATAAGGCATCTGCTTTTCCCTTCCTTCAAAGCCCATACTGTGATCATGAAGGTGGAAAGTGACTGTTTCTCTCTTGGTGGCTGGTAAAGGCTCCTGTACATTCATCTTTCTCTTCTCTGGTTCCTTCTCTACAGTCTCCTTTCGGCCTGCTTCAGAAGTGAACTCACGGACTCAAGGAGAGACCCTCCCAAACAGACTGATGCCATCCTAAAACATTCCAGCCCCCCAAACCCATCAGTATATCCATAAACCAACCTGGTGGGGTCACTTTGCCCAGCTGGTGGGACTAGGAACACTGGGGCAAATACACAGCCCGATAGCAACAGAGTAAATAGTGGGAGTAATCTTCCGAAGGGACTCAAACTTTGCAAAAACAACAGATGCTTCTACAGACCTCTTAGCTGTAGCCCATAGCATTGCGAGGTCAGGAACCACAATGTCATCTGTCTTGGTGTAACGTTTTCTTCCTGTTTTTGTAATGTGTTGATACTCTTTCCTCTTACTTCTGTATTTGTGAAACTCAGCAGGGTTTCTCTGAGCGGGTCTCAATTTTAAACTGCCTCTTGTC